GGAGGTGCATAAAGAAAGGATTTTGAGAGGATTTTTGTAGCCTGCCATATTTATGTTGGTGATTACAGTTTTTATGGGCTTTTTTTTAATGAATACCACTACCACATTATTGGCACTATAAGCCCCCTGATGTGTGAATTTCCATAATTCGTGCCATCAGTCCCTGTAATTGGAAGGTGAATGTTTGAAACAGTTTTATTTACAAAAATGACAATGAATCTTTGTTTCTACATAATGTGACTCTACCAAATACTTAGAAATTCAAATAACCCCCATTAAACCCTCAGGACAAATGTAGAATCGTAATGTTATGATACAGATTATTTTTGTTTTTCTCCATAGCAGAGTCTGTACAAAGGGGTCAAAAGGTCAAGGTTATGGTTATGGTCCAATAAAACCCAGTCAGTTTTCTTTGGATAAATAGAGTTTCATGCAGATCAGTTCTGAGGTTTATTGTGTTTATCTAACAGAACCAAGATGTGCAGAGCATCAGTATGCAAATCAGTTTACATAGAAACCTTAAGTACAAATCCAAGAGATGTTGTAGTAGATTTTTATTGGTTAAAATATTAATTGTTCGAGTGTAATCATTAGGAATATAACCATTTAAATATCCAGTTATTCTTCCATTATAATCACATATGCCTGTGTGGAAAATGCCTACGTGGCTAAAGTAGACAGGCCCTAAGATTAGAAACATCTGGGAAACAAAAGTGGGGGCCTTCTTTTTTTACGATAACAAGAACCCCTTCTCTCTAGGGAGAATTGTATGCACAAAGGAACCATTCTATGTATGGAAAACTGTATGGGATATATACCCCACGCCTTAAAATCCAACCTGTATAAAAAGGGAGACAGAAAGACATTCTGGAGATGTTTCGCTGCAGAGAGCATCTCCGCTTTATTCTCATTGATGATGTAATAAAGTGTATCTCCTGGCATCAAAACCCAAGACTGAGTGTGGTTCCTAAGATGAGCAGCAGACGACACCACAATGTCTGAGACTGAACTGATGGGATAAACTAGAAGAGTTTATATGAGAGTTTAGGATGAAAAAAGGGTAAATGATGTGGAAAAAACAGAAAATTATGATGAACAGCACTTGACGTGGACAGAACTTGAGGGGCTGAATTTCTCATAATCCCTACAGTGAGCAAATTCAACAGAGCAGACAGCAGAAATCACTGCAGAGATCAGTTATTGCACTTCTCAGGCCTGGCACTCAAATCTGCATTAACCGCTGACATTTAACTCAATAGGATAGATAAACAACTATATAAATGCTCAGGGGATAGTGGGAAATCCTGATTTTGTCTGACTGTGATGAGTCTATAATACTACATCTTTGCTCATGGACACTCCTTTCAATGAATTTTAAAGCCAACCAGCTAAGCCGTAAATGTAAATTAATTTCCGGCTTTTAAGAGCAGTGGAGAAAGGTGGTTTTTGGCAGTAGAATGAGGCGTTCCTTTATACAAAAGGCCTTTTTGTAATATTGTAGTATTATTTTAAGATGAACACTTACTGGACTGGAGCAACTTTTTCAGATATGGATAATCAATTTGACAATTTTTTAGAAAAGCCATATTAAAGTGTGATTATCAAATATGATACATTAGGCTTTTGAGGAACATCTATTTCTCAATCATCATTGTATTGCATTGCATTATATGAAAAAGAAACAGAGTTTGGATCATAAAACTAAACATTTAAATATCATCTTACTAAGACATATTGGGAGATATAGTGTGACAACTGATGTGTACAATATATGCATTTTATGTAAATCGTCTTATACTATTATGAAAATCTTATTGATTTATGTAACAAGCTTACATCTCAGAATTTCATCTTACTTTTTGACCATATAAATATCAGTAACTGCGCCAAATTGCATATGTTTGCTCTGTTTGAGCTTGTGAAACGTTGCTTTTTTTTCTTCCTCAAATGTGAGCTCCCTTATCCCATTCCCCTACCATATGTCATACAATATGAGCCATAAAAGCCTGATGTATCAAATATGATACTCAACAGAAAACAATTATGCAAATTTATTTTCCATTTCAAAACATTGGATTTTTTCTAGGCTATAAACACACAATGCAGCAGTTGGTTTTGGTTGGTTGGTTTTCAGCTATGGTGTTCTGTTACCACCTGCTGGTGGTGTATGTGGATGATAGTCAGGAGGAAGATCACAGCATATGACATGAATATCCAAACGAACAGCACACTACGTGCCAACACTGGCGGATCACGGACACTGTCCCAGAGCATTGTTCTAATTACATGCCTCTACTCTGGTCCAAAACCAAATCTGTGTCCATGAAAGTGCCAGAACCCCATCAAAATGGTCATAAATGCTAACCTCCGCTATCACACTTTAACTTTGGCCTTTGTGTGTACGTGTGAATGTGTCTTTCATCATTAGCAAGCAGTAGAGAGGCTACAGGTGAGTCATCTGCCATCTCTCTCTCTCATGTCCGCAGTGTCTTGGCATGTGCCCTCCTGCATATTCTCCTGTCAACAGTACCCGCCGCAGACATCATGGGGGCGGTGCAGCCCGGCCAGACCTGGCCTGGCAGATCAGCGTGGGTTTGAAGTTGGTGAAGTTTATGAGTGAGAGGTGTTATTGTGCCATGGATGACTCATTGCATTCAAATCTCTGCATTACAAATGCTCATAAGATCATTCATTTGTCTTCAGCTGCATCAGAAAGCCCTTAAAGTCATCATGAAATCACAATTGACTGCATCGACTATTCCTTATGGAAGCTTGTTTCCACCATAGGATAAAAAAAAGAGAAAAAAAAAACATTGACTTTTTATCACACAATTTCAACATTTTCTCTAAATTCTGAGTTTATATCTCACAATTTAGACTCTTTTGTGACATGTAAAGTCAGAAATGCAAGATATAAACTAAAACGTTTATCAATTACTTTAGAGGACAAAAAACAGAATTGCAAGAGAGAGATTCCATTTTGCTCTATGTTAAAGTCCTGCCATTGTCCAGTCTGCGCAAATAATGTGCTGCCCTCTAGTGTCCAAATGCTTCTATTTAGCAGTTGATTATTTTACCTGCTGCAAATTAAACTGTTTACAGATATTCATCTGACAGATATGACAAATGCATTGGATCAAATGAGCAATGTCCGGATTGATGGGAAAGATTTGCTCACTGCAGACACATAAACCTGCTGATGTGCTCAAATGAAGCCTGACTGGCCCACTGCCACAGCAGGCAGGACGACAGACATGTTGTCACCATCACTCAACACATTCATCGTCAATGTCACTCAGCACGTTTGCCGTGAGTCAGGGATTTCCATGATTCATGTCTGTGGATGAAATAAGAGGAAGACAATCAGTCCGTCCCCTCTTCTCTCTCACCCCCAACCTTGTTTGTGTAGCCCGCTCGGACACACCTGCAGGTCTCCCCATAAAAGTCCCAGCGTACGATCAGTCACCACGGGGCTGCCGGAAAGAGACCAAGGGGGATTTTCTCTCTCTCTCTCTCTATGGGTAGAGCTTGCACTTCCTTCCTGTGAGGTCATAAATCTCTCCCCAAGCACATGCTAATGGTCTAATATTAACAGTGTTTAGATCTACTCTGAGGATGGCCCTCACCTGAGGGTCCCACTCATATTTCAAAAATCATATTCAAATCTTACCTCCACTATTCTTCGCTAGTGGAATGATCTTTCCAACTCCATCCAAACAGGCGAGTCCCTCACCTTTTCTATGAGCACTTGACTGAATTATTTAATATTCTTGTTTTAAATAAGAACAATGGACAGTCCATGACTGTTCCAGAATTATCTACAGAATTAAAAAGGGACATATGGCACTGTTAAAACATTAATTGATAAATAACATGCATAAAACATCACACCTAATGTTTTAAAATGTATTGCAAATAATAAATAATACAACTACAACTAAGTTGGACTGATACATAGCTAAAATAAATGGGTATAAATAAATAATCGGCTAAGTTGAAAACTAGAGTGCATGTTGATGCATTCTAAATATATATATATTAGCATAGCATTGCTATGTACAGTATGTATTTAAGAAATATTTTTAAAAATGTATTTTAACTGATTGTAGTCTTTCCTCTATTTTTATTTGTATTACAATCTTTTTTGTTTTTATCAGTTTAGCGATTTTGTATTTCAGCAATTATGTTGATGCATAGTCTATATATTATTTAAAACATTAATATATATTTAAAAAAAAATGCTTACAATTGATTTGTGTATTCCTCATTTCTCAAGTTGCTTTGGATAAAAGTATATACTAACTGAATAAAATCTAAATGTGAAAAAAAAAGGAAAGCCATTTGAGATTGAAAATAATATGGTGTAAAATCATTTTGAATTAAGTTTAAATAATTTGTTTAATAGTTACTGAAAATGCTAACATGCTAATGTGCACATATACTCGTCCAGACTCAAGCATGAATGGGATTTCTGCTAACCCTTGCTACGTCAGAATGTTTTTACATTCTGTTATGAAAAGAATGAGCGGTTCATGCAAGATCAAAGCTCCATTTTTCGGAAATGAGTAGAAGGGAACAGACACTTTGTCTCTGCATGCACACAAATACATAATGCACTTAATTGCTACGTATGCAAACAGAAATACTCTAACTTTTGGCATGAAGAGACTCAGTGTGTTACTATATTGCATATTTTATTACAAAAGGGGAAATGCAAACTTCTTATTGCACAAATAGATCTTTTAAACAAACTTTTCTTGTCTTTTGTTTACTAATGCAATACTTTTGCAAATCACATGTAATTTGCTCTTTACATATAAGTTTCTATTAATGCAATTAACATTCATTATAATTACAATCAAAATATGTACAATGTTTCCAATGGTAACCAAACCACAGAAATGCACCTGTTTACAGGTGTTGACTGATTTTCCCAGTTCTTGCATTCAGTTTTGCCTTTGACAGTCTCAAGAGTCCTTGTCCTGGTGCATGAGTGTGTATCACAGTGTGTTGTGGCAGTGCTGAGGCCCAGCGTCCTGCAGGTACCCCATATGCCAGGACAGAGGAAGTGTCTGCAGTGGTTCCCCGTAATTGTCTATATGATTTGAGCCACAAGAGCCCCAAACTCCTGGCTGATATGCCCCAACATCACCTATCCGTCCATACCTGGATGAGCTTGCCATATCACAAGGAGGGTAAAGCTGGGCATCAGGAGAGAAACACGGGTAGTGAGGGGAGGGTGGACAAGCAGGGCTTGTGAAAACGTGTTGCTCTGAGGACAGTCTGTGCAATGGATTTTGTATATGGTGGCTGAGCGGCTGGTGCCAGGATAGGAAGTTCTGGGATTCAAGGCGGACAGGAGGCGACGGCTCCTGCCACAAGCCACCCAGCTGCCCGTGACACTCAAGGTGGCTGCAAGACTTCCCCACACTTGCTGGTGGGTTATTAGTGAGGAAGACTGACAAAGCCGAGATCCGATTGATGGCCCTCTGGAGCGTGGCAATCTTTGACAGCCGCTTTCCACTCAGATTGTGATGCAGAGCCACCCGGAGCGCGTTGAAGGCCTGGTTATAATCCATGATGCGTTTCCTCTCTCTCACGTTGGCCGCCACTCTGCGTGCTTTGGAGCGCACCGGCCTATTGCGTTTCTTGCTCTGGCTCTCCTCTGGCTTGCCTAGGGCGCTGTTGGGGTAACAATTTGTCGAACTGCTGCCGTCACTGCTGTCCAGCTCCTCTGACCCTTGAAGACTCCCATCCAGTTCCTCCTCGGAGAACTCGGAGCTGGTGAAGCTGCCTCTGCTCGCCATGGAGAACCCGAAGGCTGTTTCCAGTGTCATCGATCTCCTGCGCTGAGAGTCTAGATGACGCTTTCTCACACGACCTGTGATTACCTGTGATGTTTCTCAACAGGTCGAGACGCTCTTTAAAGCACCTCTTTTAGGAGTCACATGGTACAGTCACCTATGAGAAATGCTGGTGTTTATGAGCTCCCAAGGCAAATTCAGCTGCTCCCTCCCCAGACACGCCTTCTGCTGCAAAATCCGCACAACCACGTATAGGCCATGAATTAGTGAGTAAAACTCAGACACAGACAAATAAAAACACAGACAGTTTTAGATTTGTACATCTCATAAACTGTGGAAAAAATGAAAACATTACATCACAACATCACTTACCATCATCAGAGATAAGGAATGAGCTTTGACACCTTTAAAGGAGGGCAAGTTGACCTTGAACTGGCATTTTAAACAAGTAATTCTAGACTTCTTTACTTTTCTTTTTCTGACTTCTCCATTTTTTAATTACTTGGGCCCAAGGTTTTTAGTGTAATGTCAGGGGTGGTTCATCATATAATTTATATAATTAGTGTATGTATATAATTTTTATATTTATTATTTAAATAGAATTTGTTTATTTTAATGCGTTTGTTATGTATATGATTGTTTATATGTATATATATATATGTATATATATCACAAGAATAAATTGCATTAACATATATTAAAAACATTTTAAGTTGTAATAATATTTCACAATATTACTGTTTTACTGTATTTTTGATCAAATAAATGCAGCCTTGGTCAGCATAAGAGATTTCCTTCAAAAAAATCTCTTTCCATTCTTTTGACCAGTATATATACATATTTTATAAATGCAAGTTGAATTGTTTTATATGTAAAGCATATTGCATTTGTTAATTTACAGGGTTTTATTTTATGGCACTTAATTTTAAAAGGGCAAAAAAAAAATCTGAATGATTTTAGCACTTTGTGTCAGTGATAATGGCTGAACTTGTTATAGTCTTCAAGGGCAGTGTCTTGTAGTAGATTCCTGCTGGGTCTTGTGATTAATCACACAGGTTGTTCAATCTAAATTTGTCTGTTAATGCTCATGACAAATTGTGCATTTATCAAATAGGTAGTATTTTGTGGATTTCCTCTCATGTGTGAAGGACTTGCGATCCATTATTTACATTTGTCCACAGATACAATTATCATCTCCAGCATGCGATCTCAGCGCTGTGTTGGTGCTGGGCCTTGTGGGCCATATAATTTGAGTGTCTTTGTAACAAACTATAAATCAAGCCCGAACAGCACCTGAGGATAAGAACAGAAAGACACTCGGACTTCAAAGCCCGCAAAAAGAGAGCAGGTATTTGACAATTATAACATGGCTTCAACAGCACACCATACACACTGTGTTTAGCACTGACAGGGGGAACGCATACTTTTGTTTGGTTTGTTTTTGACCGATTGCATGATGGTCATGTTTCAGGTTGTGCAACAGGGAATCTGGTCTGTATCTCTACGGATCTTTGTCCTTTCACTGCCCGCAGCCTGATCATGTCCTGCTTCATCATGCTCTCTAATCTGAAGAACAACGGCTGCTGTAAGTCAATAGTTCAGTGCTAAAGCATCGCTGACAGTTTGTCATACCAAGGATAGCTGTCATCCTCCCAGTCTGTGTTGTGTAATGTCTCAAAAATGTGCTTTCTCTTGTGATTAAAAACCTCTCAATAATAATAATAATTGATAAATTAATGACTTTGGGGCATCCAGTCTGTCCTCTGCTGGGTTAGTGTATGGCAGAGGGAAAGACAGAATGAGAGGTCAGGCCTCTTCCTCTGCTCCTCTTTTATGGAGGCTGTCTAGGCTGATTGACGCCATACCCTAAAACAATTACACAGTTGGACAGTTTACAGTGAGAGTGCTGTTACTTTGAGACGGTTTGTTTTTTTGACCATGAGAAAAGAAGCTAATTTTGTATTGAACATATGCAGTGTGGGCATATTTTGTTGTTAATAACTGAAAGGAAATGCAGGAAATTCTGCTCTAGAATTATAAGAGCAAACACTATATAAAATGTCAATACGATTATGATTACATTTTAAAAACATAGTTACTTTAAAGTTCAAGCAAAAATAAATAAATAAGTGTATATATTTACAGTTCTTTCTGGTCTTCGAATCTGATTGGCTGAGAGATCTTTATCACTCTGCTTGCACTTGCAGTTTTTTTCTCACTGTGAGTGGCATGACGGATGCCCAAGTCCACTATAATATAAGTGTCATCGACACACCACTGTAATTCACTCTAATACTGTTTATGTGTCACGGAATGTGGTTTTAAGAGTTTTTTAGACAAGGATTTAGACTTAAATATATGGTTTGTTAATAAAAAATAATGCCTATTTGAAAATTTGCTTCAACATTTTAGGAGATGTGAGCTCCAGGGCGCTGCCTTTGTGCTTTTGACTGAATTGCAACTTTTATGATGGCTGTTGTTTATTAAATATTATTATTCAATAAATTTATATGAATAATAGTAGTGTTTAATAAAAGTATTTTTACTTTTTAGAAAAAAAGTATTTTTAGAACTTGTGCTCTGCATTTATTTCATCACAGTGCACACATAGCAGGGGATAGTGAACAAACACACACCCACACCCAGAGCAGTGGGCAGCTTTTTTTTTTTTCCACCCGGGGAGCAGTTGGGGGATTCGGTGCCTTGCTCAAGGGCACCTCAGTCATGGTATTGAAGGTGGAAGAGAGCCTTGCTTGTGATTTCTTTTCAGGTTTGAGGTGTCATTGTCAAAGCATAAGCAATGAATTAGCACCATGGAAATTCAAAATAAATATTTTTACAGTCAGTTTTCATTGTATAATCAGGCTCAGGAAGAGATCAGCGTTCCTCTCAGCAGCCTCTGATTTACGAGGGGCCCCTGAGAGATTTATGGCCTCCCAGAGAGAGCATGAAATCTGCACCTCGGACCGTCCAAATATCTCCCTTCTGACAGATGACAAGACCCTAGCAATTATCAGCCGCCAAGAATAAATCAAAGCCTTTACTGCTCGTCCTGTGACGCCCTTAAAGAAATAACCGTTTTCAAGGTAAGGGGAACCTGCCTAACCGTGCTTTCCTGAGATTTGTAAATCTCTGGCCTGAGCCTCTGTAATGAACGGTTGTTACCCGCGTCTTATTAGAGGTCTGTAGAAAGCGTTATAGATATTTATTTCCTGAGGGACTGTTAACGTAATGAGTGAGCACAGCTCTGTCCACTAACCTTGGCTTTACACTGGTATGTTAATGCATGTTTGCAGCACTTCCAGAGGAATTTTCACACCTCTATAAAAGTTGCTCACTCAGAAAAGGATTTCCTTCTTCCTCTTAAATAAATAAAAAAAACACCCCACATTTTAATCAATAAAATCTATTTGTTTGCACACTGTACAAAATGCTTTTTTTTTTGTTTTGTTTTTTGAAGTTGCAAATAAAGACAATTGGAGCACTTTTACAAGAAAATGCTATTTCTGTATTTCTACTTAAAAATGTCACATTTAATTCAATGTATTTCTGGCCAATTAGTTGTAATTAATTCTGAAATTTAGCCTTTTCTGAGTGGCTTTGTTTTCTACACCAAATATTTATTTTCACTGCATCTGTGTTTTACTGGAATATAATCAATTCTTTACTAATAATATCATTCAAGTGTTTGATGGTTCTGTTTACTGTTGTATTTTATTTATTCATTTAATAAATACTAAATTATTATTATTATTATTATTATTTTGTAGATAATGTATAATGTGCAGCCTCGGAGTCCAAGACAAATTCCACTTTCAGAACAATAAAGTAACTTTAAGTTCCTAAAGTTGAAGTGTGTAATTTCGATACTAGTTTTGAATGGCACCAATCAGAATAAAAAAATAGTAATATATAAAAAACAAACAAACAAAAATCATGTATAAAGTCAGTATTACTTATCAGAGTCACTCAATCACATGATCATCATAAGAAATAAATTATATCTAATTCTAGACTAAATTATTATAACAATAAGAATTCACTTCTGCTTCAGTCAGTTCAGATCGGTACTATGAATTTTTGCTGATATACAAGGAAAACAAGGACATTCAGTAAAGAGACCCGTGAGAGTAATTTCATACTGTATTCATATTGTATTACTGTGGGAAGAGGAGAGGCTCCTGCAGATAGTGTTAATGTGTGCCATGCTTCAGGCTTAATCACCTCAATCCGACTTTAAAGTCATCACATTTCCCACTCTCTCTGCCGAGGTGAGAGTCCTGTGAGTCACACACAAACACGTATTGTCTATGTGTGGAGTGACTCTGGAAGTTGTGTGGAAAATATCATATGAGAAGAAGATTTAACCATTATCTGTGTATGTAGGGAGTCATCATACATGCAGCGTGTTGGCCTGGCTCTTAAACTGTGTGCATGTTATTCAATATGAAATGCCTTCAGGGAGCACTTGCTCACACATATCTACAGTATGCTGACAGCATAACAAGGGTTTACAAGAGTTTGTCATCAAGGTGGTAAAGCTGTGACGCATTTTTGTTTGGTAGTAACCTAACATAAACAAGACAATATACTGTGATTCTCCTATTTAACAGCACAGTTTCTTTCTTTCACATGTGAAGAAATATATCGTGATATCAATTTTGGCCATATCGTCCAGCCCTATGATGTGTGCATGGTGAGAATAAAAACTTTAAAACTTTTCAAATCAAAGCAAAAATAGTTATAACATATTATAAATTAAAAACTAAAAAATCTCCCGGCACATACAAATTGACTATATGCAATTTTAAACGAGCCAGGAGAAAATATTTTATTTATAATAAAAAGTAAAATTAAAATATCCTGGCACATATAAATTGCTTGTGTGTGTAAATGTGCCAGGAGAAAATATTATTTTTGTGGTGAAAGCTGTTTGTTCCACTCAGAATTAAAACTACTGTCTACCTACATGACTCATTCCTGTTTCAGTATTCATTCATAGTCTTCTTGATCTTCTCCACCAATAACTCTTT